GTTTTTTTTTTTTTTTTTTTTTTACTGCGTGATGCTCTCCTTGGAGAGCCAGGATGAGGGCTGGGGCCAGAGCAGGGTGTTCATCAGACACCTGGTGTCCTGTTTTCTGCTGCTGGTGGAGCTGGTGTCTGGATGGAGCCACAGCTCGGCGCATTCTGCTGTGTAGTAGATCTGTCCTCTGCTGTAGGTCAGGACTAGGTTTATGGTGAAACTAAAGGCAAGAGTGAGAGTTGGTTTTTTTTTTTGCTTGGCCATGGCTCTGTAGACAATCACAAAAAACTTAGAAAACTTCCCAAAGTCTTCCTGTTTTGTAACATGACATGGTGTCATCATGCACCATTGTAAAATGGAGGGGGCTACAAATGAAGTACAAACATACCACTGCATGTAAAAAGCCCCACATATCACATTCCATGGGAAGTTTCCATAAACATTTTTTATTATCACTGCTCAGATTTGTGGTGGAGGTCTTCTGTGTTTTTTGTGCCTGTGTTCTAGACCGTACTGGTGATGCTGCTGGTTATCAAAGAGCTCACAGAGCTGGAAATGTGTGCACCGGGGCTGAGCTGGAAGCCAGGCAGGTGAAAGGAGCTTACAAAGGAAGAGCCTTTCTATCTGCAGCCTGAAACAAGTGAACAGGCTATATTGATTTTTTTGGTTGGATTGTATTTTTCTCTTAAACCTTTGTCATGTTAAATGTATGCAACTCTATGAAAAAGTCTCTGTGGAGATGCTCATCAGCTAAAACATATTAAAGCTGTCCCTTGAAAACTCTCAATTTTTGCCTGTCTTTGTGATCAGCTTCTGAGTATTCTCACCCACCTGGCTGTCTCAAAGTGCTGTAGATGATAGTCCTGCTTCTATGGGTGCTGAACTTGTGTTTATGTGTTAACTTTATATGCCTAGCACAGCCTGAATGATTCTGGTAGAGGTTTTCTTTAACCTGGGATTATAGTAGTCTCTGAGTTAACTGGAAAAAATGAAAATAAAAAGGATAGTGCTCTTAAAGATCTTACCAAAATGGAGAATCATGGAATAGCTATTCCTGATAGTTTGTGAGTTGTGATTTTCTTATTGTAGAACAAGTATTAAAGAAATTAATGGCAACACCTATTATACCTTATTCCCTGACTTAATTCTTTGTAAAGACAAGACTTGAATTTGGTATAGAGTCATAGAATCGTTGACGAATGGAAAAGACCCTTAAGATCATTGAGTCCGACCATTAACCCAACATAGACAAGCCCACCACTAACCCATGTCCCTGAGCACCACATCTACCCGGCTTCTAAATCCTTCCAGGGGTGGTGACTCCACCATTGCCCTGGGCAGCCTGTGCCAGGGCTTGGCAACACTTTCCATGAAGAAATTCTTCCTAATATCCTTAACTTAACTTAACTTCCCCTGGTGCAACTTGACACCATTTACTCTCATCCCATCGCTTGTTCCTTGGAAGAAGAGACCGGCCCCACCTCTCTGCTCTCTCCTGTCAGGGAGCTGCATCTTGTTCTCCAGGAAATTATAAAGCATGAGTTCTGCTCTTTGATGCATGTCTTTAAATAAGAGATCAAATTGTCAGTTAAAAATAATTTTGTAAGGCTTTGCTTTAAGAATGCTGAACAATTCACCTTTTATTTTGTAGACTGGAAGTTCTTAATCAGTGGGTTTTTTTGTTGTTTTTTTTTTCCATTTAGGACATATTTGACAGTGACTGGTACACCTCTCGCAGTCTTATTGGAGGAGCTGATATTATTGTGATCAAATACTCTGTCAATGACAAGACTTTATTTCAAGAGTTAAGGGACAGTTATGTCCCAATGATAAAAAAAGCATTAAACCACTGCTCAGTTCCAGTAATAATTTCTGCTGTCGGTGCAAGAAAAAACGGTATGTATCCAGTCTCTTGAGTTAAAAATCTCACTTGGAAGTCAAATATGCTGCAGTTTTGGTAGAAGCTGATTGTTTTTCGAAGTTGCTGACAGAAACAATTAATCTCTCAGGATGACAGTAATATGTGTGTGCATTATGGCTCCATAGACTTGTGTAGACTTGTGTGCTGGCAGGAACATTATTCTTAATTAACCCTCACAATGAAAAGCCTCCTGTCCTGTTTTAAGCTCTGCAACGACCCTTCTTGTGGAAAGAAAACCACAGGTACTGACAGGACGAATGCACAGGCTTTCTTTCCAGGTGCTTTTGCCGTGTGGTTTTCTTGATTTTCATGTGGTCTTATTCGGTCACAGGGCCTGATTTTTAAAAATTTTTGGTTATTTCGAAGATAATGAATGCAAAATTTGAGCATGGGAGTTGTATTTTACAAGTTTGACTAGAGCAAGTGTTTCTGAGCATCCTTTCAGCTGTGAATAAGGGACGTGATGAATGCAGGTGTGAACATCTATATTATAATGTGTAAAGAAATATTAACCCATACGAAGAGTGTCTTTTCTGGACATAATACTCAGTTTTGCCAAGGTGTACTTATATATCTTTTTTCTCAGTGATTGAGAAGGGGCTGTTAAAGAGCTCTGTAACAAATAAATCTTCCTTTTAGAAATTCATTGGTAATGATTGAGTGTTTTTATGCTCTGATTTTTACAAGGGTAATAAATTTGCCATTTTAAAGGCAAGATCTTGCTAATGCTTGTCTTCTCCCATACCTTTTCTTACCCCTTTTTATAAAGCACACCTGTGTGACACTGCTACTAGTGTTTTTGTTTTCCTCTTTTTTTTCTTTTTTTTTTTTCCCCTATCTTCTTCCCTGAACACTGTGACCGTGGGAGAAGTCAGGCTCTCCAGCCTCGGTTTCTCTGTGGGACCTGCCTGAGCAGACTCTCTGCAGACACAGAGCCCTTTTGTTTCTAGGAGGTATTTGTGAACGCAGCAGTTTGCTCGTACAAATTACTAAGATCTTAATCCTCTGCGGCAGCAAATGGCGCTGCCAAAAGAAATAATATATGAAAAAATAAATCACTGCATTATTATGTTTTCCATAGGTCTGAGCAGAGGAAATCAACACTGAGGATGCTCAGCACATTTGAAAGCACATCCATGGCTGGGAAGTTCTTACCAGCAGAATCTTAAAAATATCTATTTTTGCTTAACACCCCCAAAAAAGTAATCATACTCTGCAGTATGTACTGCAGTGGAAATTTTCCCTTCTCTTTCTGTGCACACTTGCCCCTCCGTGATAATTAACCAAGCTTCAGGGTGACATTAATGAACGGTAACACTCGTGACACTTGTGCGTGTAAAGATAGCGTGGCCCGAACCCAAAGCTGGCTACTGGAAGTCCTGCTTGTCTTTTCCACCTTAGTAAAAAAGAATGTAAAATACTGCTCATGTAATGTACGCTGAGGTTTGTATAGCAGCTGGTATGATTAATAAAGCAGTTTTGATATGATTAATAAAATATGTATAAAATATATAAAGTATATAAAGTGTATAAAGTATATAGAGTATATAAAGTATATAAAATATATAAAATAGCCACGTTTCCATTTTCCCTCTTTGTTCTTTTCTAAATAACATGTCTTTGTGATTATTTAGGAAGAGTAGTGTTCTCCATTATTTGGCTTTTGCGTCACTTTTTTTCTCCCAGGAGTGCCTTGCACCTGCCCGCTGTGCACCTCGGACAGGAGGAGCTGCGTCACCACCTCAGACGGAGTACAGCTGGCCAAGGAACTAGGAGCCACTTACCTCGAACTGCATGCTCTGAATGACTTCTATGTCCAGAAGTACTTTGGAGGAGTGGTGAGCGAGGAACCAGATTTAAAAGATGTGTAGACGTGTGTCTCAGGGATGTGGTTTAATGGTGGGCCTGGCAGTGGTGGCTTGATGGTTGCACTTAAAGGTCTTTTCCAACCTAAGTGATCCCATGGTTCTAGTGTGAGGGTGATTGCCCAAAGAAGCTGTGGATGCCTCATCCCAGCAGTGCCCGAGGCCAGGTTGGACGGGGCTTGGAGCAACCTGCTCTGCTGGGAGGGGTCCCTGCCCAGGCCATGGGCATGAAACTGAGTGATCTTCAGGGTCTCTTCCAACCCAAACCATCCTGTGATTCTAGCTGAGTTGGCAGTACCGAGGTTGCTTCAGTTTCAACTATCTTCTAGGAACGTTTAGGAATGTCATATTACACACTGCAATAATTCTTCCCCCTTCCCCTGCCCCACCCCAGATCCTATTCTTTTACCTTGCTGGGATGGGTTAATCAAAACCCAACTGGATGAGGCACTTGAAAACTCATCCCACTTTCAGCATAGTAGTGGGTGACCTCCACAGGGTCCTTCTGGCCTGAACTATTCTGGTATCTCTCATTTTAATTGCTCAAACTCCCGTGGCTCTTCTACTTGCAAAGCGAGACAGGTAAGATTGTTGACTTGCTTGATTTCTTAGCTTTTTCACAGATGTCCCACCACCAGCAAGCTTCTTCTTTTTTCCACTCTCCTGAAGACAGAGAAGCCCATTGAGCAGTTTCTAAATACTCTTTCAGATTTACTTGTCTCCTCCATGAAAGTATTTCACACTAGTATTTAATTTGCAGTTTTATGAGGTGTTTTAAATTTGGCCTTTTTTTTCAGCCTTTTGGTTACTTTACTGGTGGCATTTGGATTTGAACAACGAAATGCAGTTCTTTTGGCACAGTAATTCACATTTTTATTTACCATTGTAAAGACCAGACATTGTGCTGGTGTGTACATACTACATGTATTTTCCATGGGATTTGATAGTAGTTTGGAACATCTGGCAACACAGTTAGCCATTTTTTATTGGATCCATTCATTCTCAACTGAAAACAAAAAATCCACTCAACATCTTGTCTGGCCAGAATATTTTTTTAGTATTCAGAAAGCACTATATGTGCTCAGTAATACATTGGGTGGTTTAAGACCCGCATTAACTGGAACCAAACCACCCTTTGTGCCTCTTCATTCCCATAAAAGGGACTTTTTCCTCTCAGTGATGATGCTTATAATGTCACAGCAAAATGAACCTTGCCCACAAAGATGACCCTGCAGTGAAACTTTGTCAGAGGACACAGTGGTGGTGGTTAGCTGCAAGGTGAGGAGCTCATATATGGTTTTGTTATTTCCATCCCTTACATCTGATCACTATCCATCAAGTCTTACTCTTATCTGTAAGTCTGTAATTGGCATCTGTGGAAGTTGGTAAATTGAATATCTCTGTGCTCATCGTTTCTAGGAAGAATAAATACAAGAGGATTAACCACCATCATTTAAATCAGTTGTGCTAATTCCAGCTGCATTTGATGTCTTCTCCTGGTGGAGTGTGGGGACTCTGCTGGGTGGTGCTTCATCCTAGCAGGACCTTCAGTCCTGCAGGCAGCACTTGCTCCTTAATTTATCTTTATTTATTTTCTTAGAGCTGTTTGGTTTTGTTTTCCAATCCATAAGTCTCTCTGCCTTATTCCCTTTTACTCTTCCCCTTTGGGGAGGGAGAATCATAGAATGGCCTAGGTTGGAAGGGACCTTAGAGATCATTTTAATCCAACCTCCCTGTTATGGGCAGGGACGCCACCTCTCGACTAGGCCAGGCAACACGTGGGGACCGAGTGGGAATCAAACCCGCGACCTCGGTGTTGGTCCTTGTTGCCAGCACCGGTGCTCAAACTACAGAGCATCTCTAATTTGTTTAGAGCCAGCCCAGCCCTAACCCTTGACAGCTTGATGTCTAAGTTGTTCTTAAATAATTCAGATTTCTTAAAAAAACATTTCATGTTTTAGCTGGAGTATTTTATGATCCAAAGTTTGAATCAGAAGTCGTCTGAAAAAGTAAAGAAAATGAAAAAGACGCAGAAGTGCCATCGAGTTCAACCACCTCAGCTTGAACAGCCAGGTGCTCACTGATGTCTGCTCCCTTGTATTGCTCGTTACGTGTGTCGTGTTCCCTGCACAATTAACATTTTGTAGTCATTAACTGTGAGCTGTGCTATCTGTGGCCAACTATTCTGGTTATGTTGCTCTAGTGTCATCATTTAATTAATTTGAGGAGAGTCATGAACCGATATTTGCGATTGCAATGGACTTCTGGTTCATTTTAGGCAAGAATAATGGGGGTGGTTTTCTGGTGCAGTTGAAAAAGTGCAAAGGTGGATTAATAAAAACTTTAGATAAAAGCTTTACAGGCAGACTGTAAAAGTCACTACATCATGTTGTTTGTTACTCTACGACATGATCAAGTAATTTTAAATTGCAGCACACAAAACGAGAGCTGTACACCCCTGCAAGTGATTTACTGCGTGTGATCTCTGAGCATCTAGTGCATTTATTCGGTAAATTAATTAGTGACAAGTCGTTGCCTCTAGAAATGTAGTTGTCTCTTCTAACAGGTACTGGAAATTCACTCGGGTCCTTTAGGTCTGGGAGTCACAGGCAAGGTGTCTTTTAAATTTAAGTGCCTAAAGAGGTTTGGTTAAAGGACGGACACTTTTACTAGACTAACAGATGGACACTTTTACTGAGCTACGTGTCTCTTGTATTTCTTACTTTACTATACTAAGTATTCCATTTTTGGAGAACTTCACTAAGCATGCTCAAATGACACATAAGAAACATTACCTGAATACCTCTCTCCTAAAGTTGTCCTCCATTTGATCAGGTCACTGAGAACAGTGTTGTCCGGTGGTTAATCCTTCCTTCCGTTCTACAGCCGACTCGTTATCTCCCACAGAAAAGATGCCGATCCTGAAGGGCGAAGCCTCTCAGTATGACGCGGACCTGCACAGCCTCCTCTGCTGCTGCCCCTGCGCCGATGTGGCCTTCTGCTCCGAGGACCTCAGCACGGCGGTGGAGGCTCACAAGGTCATCCTCTGCTCTGTCAGCCACCTCTTCATGCTGCTCTTCGAAGTGAAGAGCCCTGCCGAGATACGAGATGACTCCATCCTGGGGATGGCCCGGAGCCTCTTTGAGGTGGAGACGGGAGACACCGGATCCCCTGTGAGAGTGGTGGTGAAGGACTCGATTTTCTGCTCCTGCCTCCCAGACATCCTTCACTTCATCTATTCAGGTACCTGCTGGGAATATGTCCCATTACTCATTTCTCAAACAGGCTGAGGGAGCTGAAATTGTTCAGCCTGGAGAAGACAAGACTCTGGGGGGACCTTATCACTCCTGCAGTGCCTGAAGGGAACCTTCAGGGAGGCTGGGGAGGGACTTTTTACAAGAGTGTCCAGTGATAGGACAAGGAGAGATGGATTTAAATTGAAGAAGAATGGGTTTAGATTGGATCTTAGGAAGAAGTTCTTCAGTGCGAGGGTGACAAGACTGTGGAACAGATTGCCCAGAGAGGCTGTGGCTGCCCCCTCCCTGGAGATGTCCAAGGCCAGGTTGGATGAGGCCCTGAGCAACCTGGGCTGGTTAAGAGCATCCCTGCCCATGGCAGGGAGTGGGATTAGATGATCTCTGAGGTCCCTTCCAACCTAAGACATTCCAGGATTCTGTGATTCTGTGATGTCTCCTGAAGAAATACCCACATCACTCTGAGAAAAGGTACTTTTGCTGTTGGGACATGATGTCAGAGAATCACAGTCACATAATCAAAGAATCGTGGAATCACAGAGTCATGGAACCATGAAATCATGGAATCATAGAATCATAGGATGGTTTGGGTTGGAAGGGACCATAAAACCTATCCAGTTTCAAGCCCCTGCCATGAACAGGGACACTTCCCACCAGACCAGGTTGCTCAAGGTCCTCCCACGTCACTACATCTGTTTCATCCCTTGTGATTAGTACAAACGACATCTACATCAAAAAAACCCTTCGCCAGAATTCAGTTAAAAAATTGGTCGTCATTCCAGATCTAATTAACATAAACTAAGATCTAATTAACATAAACTAAGTATTTCTTCTCCACTGAAAAAGACTGGACCAGGCTGCACAGGGCAGTAGTTGAATCTCCATCCCTGGCTGTGTTTAAATGCTGTCCAGATGTGGTGCTCAGGGATGTTGTTTGGAAGTGGGGCTGGCAGAGCTAGATAACACTTGGACTTGGTGATCTTGAAGGTCTTTTCCAACCGGGATGATTCTATGACACTTATAATCTGACTGATCGAAGTCCATAAGCAGACATCAAAAATATTCAAAAGCTTTGCCAAAAAAAAAAAAAAGAAGTTAGAGAGTTTGAGACAGATTCAAATCCCAGCCTTTTGAAATATTCAGAATGCTTGCATGTTCTAAACACATTGACCGGAGTACAGGGTAGCTTAAGAAAACTCAAGTGGTTTCTCTTCTGTGTGCAGTGTTGCTGAGGAGAAAACAGTGAGGACAAGGGCTCTGGAACGTTTAATGAATTTTACTACCAGTTCAGTACAGACAACAACTTCACCTGCCTAATGCCAGCTGTCTGTTAAAATGTCACAGATATTTTTCTGACTTTTCAAATGTTGTTTAGGAGTCCTCAGGTAAAAGAGAATTTTTATTTTATTTTCTGGAAGTGTGTGTATATATATATGTTATATACAAATCAACAAGATTTTTAATGATGAATTCTCGTTTTGACAGTAATTAAAAAAAGCCACAAATAATTATAATATCAGAATTACCTATATTACCTATAAAAAAGCTTAGTCAGTACATGCCCAACATACAGAAATGATTTCTGCTTTAGTAGCAAAGACGTGTTTTTGAAGACACAAGGGAGGTTCCTTCAGCTTTCATTTAGACGTTGTACACTGAAAATATCCCTTTCCGTTCTCTCCAAGCCTGTGCCACAGATAAAGAACAGATGCGCAAGTTTTTCAGTGTGGATAGATGTTTTTAAATTTTATTTATTGGTGACATGAATAGGGGATTAAACTTGGAATTTTAGCCAGTGACAGTAAGTGCCATATCCTCATCTGTTACCATTTACAACGTGTCTTGCCGTTCCTAAGCAAAGATCTGACTGAATTGTGTGCAAAAAACCACAGTTTCTGCAAGATCTTCTTGGCATTGCTGTCACTTCTGTGCCTGCCAAAGCCTGAGCCTTGCTTGTTGATATTCCAGCTTTTTTCTTGTGGCAGGTGCTTTCCAGTGGGAGCGATTAGAAGAGGATATAAAAAAAAAGCTGAAGGATCCAGAAAAAACTGAACAAGTGCTTGAGAAGGTTAAATGTATCCTGAAAACTCCAGGGGTGACTGTGAGTATTAGTTAAGTCTTAAGTTCTTGGGGAATTGTTTTATAGACAAGATTTCCTTGTCAGTCTTTGTTTTAAACCCTCCTTGGCTTTTATTACTTTGCCAGTGGGTGCAAAATTCAAGCACAGAGATGCTGACCCTACTGTGCATAATTAATCAGTAATCGGTAAAAAAAGCACACAAGTTGGTATCCTAGAAGGATTACTCCTATTCACAGCTTTGCACATTGTCTAACAACATGATTATGTGCTGCTAATTCTCATGTAATAGCGGCTGCCCAGGAAAGCTTTGCTTTCCTGAATATGTGCCAAAAGTTGTGCTTCTGCAGCAAACCAGGCGAGGTGGCTTCTCTTGTAAGTGCTGTGATGTGGAAAGCTGTCTGTAACTCAGTATTTTTAACTCAGCAGGTGAATTCCTAATAAAACGTAATTTATGCCACGTTATTCTGACAACTAAAAGTTGCGATACAGATTTGGTTTTAGCAGCCATTTGCTTGTGGAGCTTATGCAGTTCCTGGTATATTAACAGAATATAATTAATATAGCATAACATAACATGATATAGCAACATAACATAACATAATAAAGACTAAAAAGTTACTTAGCTGTTTTAAGCTTCTGACCGCTCAGTTGTAGCCTTGCCTGCCCCAAGTGTCCGCAGCTCAGATGTTCATAGGATTGGACGTAGAAAGTCCTGAAATCTTTTAAGATCAGCCTGGGTTGCTGTTTCTTTTGTTTGTTTGGTTGGATTTTAAATGCATTTGGGGTGCTTTTGTTTTACATTTAAAAGTTTTTCTGTAAAGACATAGAAATTAATTGTGATTTTTCTTGACAAAGTTAAAAAATAATTAGGTAAGACATTCACCATAAATTCAACCTCATCTGGATTTCACTTCTGCAATGTGATTTTGATGTCTTTTTCCTTTTGGTAGCTTTAGATTCCATTTTTAAAGCAAGGGAAAAAAAACAGAACTGAAAAACTGATGGGAAACGCTGGGTTTTAGAGGGTCTTGGCTCTATCATGTTGGGATTATTGTAAGAGAAGTCTACACTTCAGCCTGCAAGCTACCTCTGCGGAGGCAGCATCAGGACCAAAGGCCGTTGCTTAGTTTTCCTCTGCAAATGGTGCCTCATAATTTTTTATTCTGTGGGCAGCTATACATGGCAGCGCTCTATTAATAATTTTTTCTGCAGCTAAGCACAGTGAAGGACTGCAGATCTCGCCGGATGAAACGTCTGTATAATACTTCTCTGAGGCTGTTCTTTAACACGCCTGTCCTCGCTGATGTCATCTTCAAAATACAAGGTATGGTACCTCTGCTCGTGGGCACTGCTGCCCCTCCAGCTTTGCCCTCTCTGCAGGAAGGTGGGAAATGGAGGTGGCTATATTTTACTTTTTTGTCAGAACTAATATCAGGGAGACCTTATTGCTTGAAAGGAGGTTGTAGAAAGGTGGGGTTTGGTCTGTTCTTCCTAGTGGCGAGTGATAGGATGAGGGGAAATGGATTTAAATTGTGCCAGGGGAGGTTCAGGTTGGATATGGGGAAGAATTTCTATACTGAAAGGGTTGTCAGCCATTGGAACAGACTGCCCAGGGAGGGGGTTGAGCCACCGTCCCTGGAGGGGTTTAAGAGACGGGTGGATGTTGTGCTGAGGGACTTGGGTTAGTGGTGTTGATAGGGCTGGGACAAAGGTTGGACTTCATGAAGTTCTCTTCCAGCTGAAACTGTTCAATGTACCGTCAGCAAGTTCGCTGATGGTACGAAACTGGG